GAACTTGGTTAACGACAAGGGCAGAGTCTGAGTGCACCAATATTCGTTGAACTCCTAGTTCTTGCACCATGGTCAAGCCAGCTAGGAGGGCTTGATATTCAGCAGCATTATTAGTTATGGAAGTTGTGAAGCGGACAGCCAGCTCATGGGTAACATTCAATGGACTGATGAGAAGAACTCCTGCTCCAGAGCCGGCTTTGCTTGAAGCTCCATCCACAAATAGCCTCCATGTTTCTGACTCAGAAGGTATCGTAGCTCGAATTCCCTTAGCCACAAAGTCAGCAAGCACCTGTGATTTGATGGTTGTACGTGGGAGGTAGGGGTGGGCATCCGGTTCGGTAAACCCGAACCGAACCGGACCGAAACCGAATTAAACCGAACCGAAACCGAATTAGTGGTGTTCGGTTCGGAATTCGGAAGCCAAATCCCTTTATTTCGGAAACCAGGGGTATACAGACCGAAACCGAATTCCGATCAACCGAACCGATCAACCGAACAAAAAAATTAGCCCAATCTTACAGCCCAACTAACTACTCAAGCTCTCACTTTAAGCCCAATTCTCACATCCCAAATCAAACAGAACCCAAAAATAAATCCCTCACAGCCCAAATCAAATAGAGCCCGATATAAATCCCTCAAGCCCACAACTCTTTCCTACATACTGCTAACCTAAACCTAACAAAGAAGACAAAAAAACCAAGCATCATCGCCGTCAAGCATCACCGCCGCCAACGACTGTCAAGCATCGCCGCCGTCCACCGAATCCTTCCATCATCTCTTGGCCTGGCCGCAAACTCCTCTACGGGTCGATGCCATTTCCCCTCTCTCCGATTTCTTCTCCTCTCTGAGACCTGCAGAAACCCAAATTCAAAACATAAAACCCCAAATGCATCAAAATCAATATTGAAAATTAAAGCTTTCTTCTCCAAAATCGAAACTTTCTTCTCCTGAATCGAAAAGAGTGATGATGCTATTGAAACTCGAAGGTGAAAATCAAACAGAAAAATGACATGCATGCTTAGATCTACACTCATACTGACCTCAAACATTCAATCGCCGTGCTCGACTGTCGCCGCGTTGTGTTCTGACTTCCGCATCAATCGCCGTTGCCGTTGAGTCGCCAGACGGAAAAGACACCACCGCAGCACCGCTGCTTTCTACTCGCCGCTGAGTCGGGAGACGGAGGAGATACCACCATCGCAACACCGCTCCTTTCTCCTCTGCATCGATTGCGTTTGTTGGAAGGGGGAGGGGGAGGGAGAGGGAGAGGGGGAGAGAGAGAGAGAGAGAGAGAGATTTGATCGAAATGGGGAAACGGCGAGGGTTAGGGTATGTGGGACTGGCCGACTAGGAGAGAGAGCGCGTTTGTTTATAAAGTTTCGGTTTGTGTGTTAAAATCGAACCGAACATTTCGGTTCGAACTCGGTTTGGCTTCCAGACAGTTTCGGGGACCCGGTATGCTCTGTTTCGGTTCGGTTCAAACCGAACCGAACCGATGCCCACCCCTAGTGGGAGGTAAGTGATATCATACTCACTTAATTCAATGACCCAGTTGATCATTCGACCCGCTATGTCCATACGTTGGACACCATCGACCTCGACCTTGTCCTCATCTTGGACACCATTTGCTCCTTCTACTTCATCTTCAATCTACGTTTCTTCTTCTTTAATTCGTTCCTCTCCTTGGGAACAATCAAGATCTTCCTTCTCTTCAATTCTCACTTCTTCCTCTTCAACCACTTCTTCCTCCTTCCCATTCATGTCTCAAGGCGTGCCATTTGCCTCCAACTCGTAAACAGTGCTTAGCCTCCACTTTTTGGCTCATTTTGACCTCCGAATGACCCGAAACTCGTCTCGGACCTTTCCAACTATGCTAGTAGCTTAAATGTGATAAAGTAAGCACAACCTAGTGTAAAATAGGTCTAGGGATGATGATCTACTAAGCAAAACGAACAAGAAATGAGGGGTAAAATGTGTACAATTGGTCCTGAATCAGCAAGTTTGATTACAGATTTCTTTGAATCTCACTAGCAAGCATCACACGCTCTTTGGAAAGATCCCAGATTCATTCGTCAGATTATCTTCACTAATTCAACTCCCACTCTCAAACAATAACAACTCACGCCTATTTTTTCGACCTTAACGAAGTTTTTGATGATGAAACTCACCTGATTAAACCCCATAATATTCCCAGACGGTCATGCTTCACTTCTATATCCAAATCATCTCTTCGTGGGCAACTTGGAGGATGTGGCAGAGGAGCGTGCAACAGAGGAAGGCAAGAAGAACCAGGAAGCGCCGGTCGAACCTTGATGACAAAGTTGGTTTCGAGAGGTATGGATTGTTAAAAGCCAATTTTTTGGATGATTTTTGGTATTTGAACTTGTTTGTCATTTTATTTATGTTTGGGTGAAAATGGATATTATTTGGTGGCTTTTGGACATATTTGGATTTATTTGGTTATTTTAGCTAGGAGGTATTAGTTTGTGTAGTTAGTGGGAATTATTCGAGTAATATATTGTGTAATTAGTGGATATTTTCTCATTCAGCAAATACTAAATAGAATTCTCCAAAGCGTAGCACTGTTCACTTCCATTTTTGTTTCCTGTTTCTGTTTTCCTGTCATAAATTTCGCAATCGAAACGAGGAAACATGTTTACTTTTCATTCTGTTTTCTATTCGTTTCCAGCTCTAAAAACAGAAAGTGACAGCTTCCTGTTGTTTTCGGAAACGACAAAATGTTGTTTTCATCTGTTTTCTCAAAAATAGGAAAGAAAAATGAAAGAAAACACGCGCCCCTTGGCCGACCGATTTCCTCCTTCTTCAACCCCTCTCTACCCAAATACCTCATTCTCAACCCATAATCCCCAATTCTCTATAGATCCTGATTACATAATTCGAAACAGAAGACTCTTGGATCGAAGGTTTCTTACATTCGCCTTCATGTAAAAAAGTACGGTTGATCGAATAATTAAGTCCTTTAGCAAAATTCACTGAGAAAAATGAGATGTGGTTTGTTTAATGCATCCTTCATGCTACTCTTTGGTTGATCTGGTTACAACGAAATCAGTGCATATTCGGAGACACTCAAGCAACATCTAAAGTCATAGCTCGTCAAGCTACCAAGATGGTCATATCCTGCATTTCTGCTCCATGATAGTTTATCTCGAATGTAATTGTAGCTCTGTTTTCGCTCAGTTTCAGCGGGGACAGTCTTGTCCGTCGGGCTATTTTGGCACTTCTTTTCATTGATTGTTGTAATTTCTTTCAATTTCTCTTTTCTTCTATTCTTTTCCTCTTTGTTTCTATCGGTTCAGTTCTTCTGAACATATGTACACTTTTTCTTTCGTTTAATCCAATCACCATTATAAAAAAAAATGAGATGCGGGAAAACTAAGGTAGATTTTTGCATGAACACCATAAATCAATCTAAGGAGACGATGATTCGGGCCAAAATGTACACATTTTACCCATCATTTCTTATTCGTTTAGCTTAGTATTTCATCGTTCCTCGACATATTTCACGCTAGTTTGTCCTTGTTTTGATGCATTCAGGTCCTAGCACGTGTGGAATGGTCGAGGTCAAATTTTGGGATAATTGGAGGTCAAAAAGCGCAAAAACCAAAGAAAAGTCCGAAGCCTCGTAGCAGTGAAGTGAAGGCGTCCAGGAAACAGCCGCAGTTCACGGTCCGACAAGGCAGTTCACGGTCTCCTAAGACCATGAACATGGACCACAAACCATGAACATCGACCAGTCAAGCGAGGTTTCAGAGGTTACTAACGCCAAAAAAGTTCACGGTGTCTAAGACCGTGAACTGGGGCCACTCACTGTGAACCCAGGAGAGTGAAGCGGTGCGTTTTGGACAACATTAAGTTCACGGACGCGTTTAGGTGTTCACGGCCGTGAACTGGTCACTTTCGGGCAAATATGAAGACAACAGCGGGAAGAGAGAAGGGAGAGCTGGTTTTTGGAGAGAAATTCAATTTCCTCTCTAGGGTTTGCCCAAAAACACCAAAGGGGAGTTCTAGTGAGAGAGAGAGTGCTAGAGTGATCTTGGAGCATCATTGGAGGCTTGGGTGGATCTTGAAGACAAGGATTCAAGCCTAGAAGAAGAAGAAGACCTTGAGCTCAAATTTGTAATCCCTCTCTCTCTAGAAACTCACTCTTTTCTCTTGGGTGTCGTAGATCGATACTAATACTTTGTAATTACTTGTTTAGATTGAATGATTTCGTATGGGTTGCATCAATTTGAGTATTAGAGGTATTTTCATGGTTATTGTGCTTAGTTGTGCTTGCCTAACCTAGATTAGAGGAAAACCACACCTTTTTAGGTAGGCTTGACAAGCTTGGTTTTTCTGGACACTTTGTGGCTACTATCTAGGTTAGAGATGAGCATCCTCCTTGACTCAAGTTTGCATCTAGGTTGGTTGTGATTAAGCCTCTCAAATTCCGGTTTGAGGGAGAGACCTAGGCAACCACGAGAGACTGAGTGAGAGGATTGATCCCGTGACAAATCGATCTCTAGTGAATCCATCCCGTGACAAATGGATCACTAGTTGCTCCTCCTAGTGGTCCCCCTAGACTTAGTGAGTGGATCGATCCCGTGACAAATCGATCTCTAGTGAATTGATTCCGTAACAAATCGACCACTAGTTGCTCCCCCCCCCCCCTCCCCCCGCGGTTCACAACCACCTACGCCACACTACTCCATTCAATCCAACGAGTCATGGTAGCTAGTTAGGGGGAAACAACTCCTGGGTGAAGCTCTCTTAGTTAGAGTTTTCCTTTATTTACTTTTCTTTGCTTGTTTAGTTTGTAGTTTTCTTAGTTTGAAAAGCCAAAACTGTTTTGCTAGATAACAACTTAAGCGATTGAAGTAGGGGTATATGGACCGGCCCGGGTTGACAATCTCAATACTTGCTCTATACTGCACCTGACTTGAGTTTAAAAACTTGGGTTCTAGTCGGGATTAATTTGTGGTGCAATTTCGTGCGAGTCAGACAACATAAATAAAATAAAAATAATGAATGAATGAATCAGAGCCGATTGGGTTGGAACTTCCACTCTCGTCCGCAATAACAATTTCACAATATGGAACTGTCTAAACTAATGAGATCTATATATGTTGTGGAATGTTGAGATCGAGTCCAATGTTCATCCCATTGTAAGCAATCGGCGAATACATCCAGTGATCATCAGAGCTCAACAACTGCAATAACAGGAACAATTGATTAATATCCGGCGCCGAAATGGAAAGACAGGAGGATTATGTAGGCATTTGCCAACTCCTGTGGGCATGTTACCTTGATTTGGAGCTGCAAGAACTTGACATACTGGACAGCTTCTTCAAGCATGGTGCTGATATCGACCTTGGTACCATTGGGGACAAGGGTCTGCAGAACCTTAAGCCTCTCATTGATTCTTTCTCTTCTTTTCTGTGTGATACCCACAAATGAAAAAGAAAATCATGTTAGATTCAAGCCTGCAGGCAGTGAGCAAGAAAAGAAGTTGGTAGATTCCCCTAATTACCCTGGCATAAAGGCTCTGTGGATCAGTGGCTGCACCCCTGCTGGCTCTGGTCTTGCCATTCAAGTTAAGAGCTGGATCCCCTTTCAAGCTCACAGTCGTGGAACTAGTACTAGTACTAGTTGTTGTTGTTGTTGGTATAGCTTCTCCTCCTTGAGCCAGAGGCATCATCTCATCTGCTGCTGATCCATTAACATTGGACTCATCCTCAGAAGAGCCATTGATGGCCGCACCTGCGTCACTCTTCACAACATTGCTCTCTTCCTCCATCTTAGCACCTTTCTGCTTCTTCCCCCCTTTCTTTGGCCTCACATTCTTCTTGGCTTTTGTGGCCTGCAAGTTGGTTTGGTCAGAAAGTGAGTGCCAGCAACATCGATCCTAATCTGAATTGTGCAAAAGTGAAACAACTTACTTCTCCTCCTGTGGCCCTTGATCTCTTCTTTGGCCCCTTGCTAGGTTTCCCTTCAGCAGTTATGTGGTGATGCTTGTGTTGTTCAGATTTCTTTTTCACCAGCAAGGTGTCTAGATCTTCTCCGACACAGAGCCCTGTTGAAATGGGGCCTTCTTCTTTGCTCACAAGAGGCGGCAGAGAATAAGAATGGAGATCCATGGATGTGTCCCGAGGATGATGATGACTGGTACTGCTGCTACTCCCTTGTGATGTTGATGATGAAAGATGCTGACTGTCAGCTGCTGACATGTTGAATAGCGCTGATGACGTTGAGAAGAAGTCAGCATCCAGACTGGTGGACGATTCGAGGTTATGGTAATTGCTGGTTTCCTGGTGAGCAGAGACAGGGAAGTTGGAAAGCAATTGAGCCATGAATTCAGCTTCGGCCTGCTCATTTGTGTACATCATTAGGGAGCTCCAATCCATATCAGCTAACCATTCAATATGCTCCATGCTAGCTAGCTAGCTTTTGTTTGGGGGAATGGAATGGAATGGAATGGAAGGAGAAGAATATAAATATTATGCTGATCAAAAGGACCTTTGCTCTCTATCTCGCTTTCTCACCGCATTGAGAGAAAGATGAAGCAAAAGAGGCCTATTTATACATGTCTGTCATTGTGGTTGCATGGCACAAAGCTACCAGCTAACCAACCCAGGAAAGAAATCAAACGAATGTCTTCAAGGCTCAACTCAAAGGAGATATGCAAAATATTCCAGTTGACTATCAACTTGTCTCACAATATCTCTTTCATTAATCAAACATTTATTCACATCCACAAGAAAAAAATTCTTTTGATCGAAACAATAATTAAGGTGCATACAGACAAATGAAACTAATGGGGCCATGTACAACTCATTTTCTAAGCTTCTTTTTTTGTTGGATGGAACGCTCTTAGAATATTTGGCCACATGGTTGCGCTGCAAAATATAATAACAAATGAAAATGTTTTCCCTTAATTATGGATTAGAGGAAATCCCATAAAATGTTTGTAACTACTTGGAGCTGGAGGGGGTTGTTGTTCTTCAGGGCTGCCTGGCTGGCTTTGGCTTATACAACTTTGGAAGATGGAAAGAATGTTGAGTGAATTGAGAATGAGATACGCCAAGATTCCCTCTCTCTCTCTCTCGTTCTTCCATATTCTGTTGCTATATGCATTATGTTTCTCGAAAGCTTGAATTTGATGAAATGGGGAAATATCTGGATCTCCCATTATTCATATAAATCACCAACATTTATCTGCTTGTGTACATGAGTAGTTTGTGTGAGCTCTCGTTTTCAAGCGGTATTATAACCTCTTATTATCTCATTTCGTAATTTAGGTGTGCATAAGGAAAAAAAATGTGCAATGTGGTATGGATATATCATGTATTAAGACCAAAAAACGAAAGTGAAGAAAAATGATTCATGTACCACCGATAAATATTGTATGGTTTTAGATCCAATTCATTTACCAATCAATCAATTTTGATCCGTATCATTAATAATTAATTTAAATTAGATCTTACTTGTGGAATCTTTTCTAATATTACTAAGTCCGGAAAATGTGCACTAATAACATTTTTAAGCATTAATTTAAACATTTCAAATGTGTATAGAAAATCATATTAATGATATTCCGTGCCAAGATAGTTAAGCATCTCAAAGAATCGATGAATTTAAAACTTAAGCACGATTTCCGAGCACAATCAAGAATTAATTTGTCCTCGTAATTCGAGTTGTTGGGTTAGAAAATCTAATGATAGATTTTGATAAATATAAGGTAGATATGAGGTAATAGATTTTGGAAATATAAAGTAGATATGAGGTAATATAATGATAGATTGTGATTGTGGTGGTAGATTTCATGTTTTTGGAATGTGTTAGGTGAATTATTTTAATGACAAAGATATGGGACAGAAACCGACGTGGGGTGGTGCTATATTAGCTAGCACAGGGTTGCTATTTGCATAAAACATTAAAACAAATGTGTCTCCTAATGAAAAAAAAGAATCATTAACAATGGAAGTTGACCAGCACACATCCTTGTTTCCCTTAGTTTATGTCTTTTTTGTATCTCATGGCTGTTAGTCTTTTTTCTGCCAAAAAAAAAAAACAACTTTGAGAAAGAGAGAGAGAGAGGTAGAGGGAAATGGGACAAATAATGTGTTCGATGGGTGTGGGTGTTTTGGTAGTCTCGTCAAATTCGAGCTTAATTGTATTTTTGGTTTGAACCGCATGACCCTGGGTATCCAATTAACCCCCACCTAGTCAATGCGGGAATCTCTGAATTGATTGGATATGAGGCAGATACAGGTAAAATTCACAAGACGTTTGATGGGTATGGGGCGGGTATAGTTTTAGCCTTTCTGCCCCCATATCGATACCCTCCCCATCAAGAACGTTTCTTTAATTATAAAAAACTACATTGATCAAATGTAACTTATCAATAATAGTGAGGGTAACTCAAAAAAATTAATAGTAGAAATGCAATTGAATGACCACCCAAATCAAAACATAATTCATTTTCCTCAACTCTTTCTTCTTCACTCTCACTTTTTCCCTCGTGTTAACAATATTATATTAGTTATTTGGTTAGTTATTACTTATTAGAAGTATCAGAGTTAGAGAATATTGATTTGAATTACATTGCACTCTATCTTGTCGATTAATAGATGTTTTAGAATAAAATACTTTGAATTGTATTGAGAATGATTGTCTCTTTGTCGACTTCATGATATAGTTGGTGTGTTTAATGTTATTATTAAAAAGTTACATGTAAAATCTTAAGTATTATATGTTGGATGTACGGGATGGGCATTACCCATGCGTAACCGAAACTCATGGTGTGGGAAGGTTTGCAAAACCTTCCCCCGCATAGGTATTGGGCGAGTTTAGGTATGGATATTTGAAAGCGGGTGATTCAGGTTTAATTACACTTGCTTTTCACCCCATATTGTTGTGATGTTTGAGACATTTACATCGCCCGAGGTTCAATTTTACGCTAGGTTGTGATATTTTTAGCATGTTTCAGGTCTTAGCAGGTGGAATTGACCTCGGGACCGAAAGCTAAACAAAAGAAGGCGTAAAAGGAGCGAAATGGATGACAAGGCAGAAGTCACGGGCAGGAGACCGTGACATTTGGGCCTAGACCATGAAGATTGACGTGATCTATGAGCTTTTGCATGCCTCGCGAGCAAATAGAAGTTCACAAGCGGGAGACTGTAACATTTTCGCCCCGACTGTGAAGATTATAAATGAAACAAAGCGTTTTTCTCAATATCACGGGCAAGCCCTCGAGAGGAGAGGACTTCTAGAGTGGTATTGCCTTCTTCTTCTTTTTCAGCTAGAGAGAGAAAGTCACGAACCAAAGGAGGAAGAAGGAGTTCTTTACCTACCCAAGACTAGAAGAGTGAAGATTTCTCCACCAAGGAGGCAATCCAAGCAACTTAGGCCCTGTTCACTTCTCAGTTGTATTCCTCTTCTTAGTCATGGAGTAGTTCTTCAATTCACTTGGGTGTTGTGAACCCTAGCCTAGAAATGTGATAGGTTGTATGGATTGAATGTTACGTGTGTGAGTTTGTGTTTAATACAATGTTTGAGGTAATTTTCAGAATTCTTGAGTATTGTTCTTTCATATCTCAAAGTTAGGTCAAATTGACTCAGGTGGAGGAAATCTCCTTTTGGGACTTAAGAAGCTAGATTTTTTAGTGAGTTATAAGGTATATAATGCTCTTATCAGGCTAGATCAATTATGACAATTAATGTTATTTAAACTAGATGTCATTGTTGATGTGACTTGAATCGGACTATCAGCCGCTACGAATGGTAGTCGGGGGTCTCCTTTGCCAGATTGGATTAGGTTCAAACCCACATGGAGAAGTACTATAAATACTTCTCATACTCCTCTGTAATTTGTAATCTCCCCGATATAGCGAAATTGGCTCTCTCTCGCCCGTGGACGTAGCTAACACACATCGTGTTAGTGAACAACGTAAATCGTGTGTTGTGTTTTCGATTCTCGCTTTCGTATTCTTGTTATTCCAGCGATTTCCCGATCCGTACCAGCGCGTTTATAACAAGTGGTATTAGAGCCTGGTTGGAAATCAGGCTAGGGTTTTCGATTCAGAAGAATGACGTCGGTGAACATAAAGATCGAAAAGTTCACGGGGAAGAACAGCTTCGCTATATGGCAGATCAAGATGCAGGCTTTATTAAAGCAGCAAGGGCTATGGGGGCCGCTGTCTGCGAAACAGAAGAAGGCAGCGGTCAACAGAGGAGAAGGCCCACTCGACCATCATGCTATCGTTGTCTGATGACGACATCATTGAAGTCGTTGCTGAGAAGACTGCCGCGGGCTTGTGCTTGAAACTAGAAAGTCTGTACATGACTAAGTCTCTAACCAACAAGCTGCATCTCAAGCAACGGTTGTTCAGCTTGAGGATGCAAGAAGGTACGCCTTTGAGGGAACATCTCGAATAGCTTAACTCTATTTTGCTGGATCTGCGTAATATAGATGTTCAAGTTGATGACGAGGATGCTGCCCTAATCCTGCTGGTTTCTTTGCCGAGTTCATATGAGATATTTGTTGATTATTTTATTGCTGGTAAAGAAAGCGTGTCGTTGGAGGATGTCAGGTCTGCTCTTCATACGAGAGAGATCAGACATAAGGCGTCTGGATCTGGTACAGGTGGTGAGGCTTCAGGTTTGGCTGTTACAGCTGGAAAGGGAAAGAAGAAATCTGGTAAAGGGAATTCGAACAAGAATTCCAAGGGTCCCGGCCCACAGCCAGGTGATGCTTGTCACAACTGTAAGGAAGTGGGGCATTGGAAGTACAACTGTCCCAAGAGAAGAGGGCAACAGAAGAAACAAGGTTCAGTTGTCGTGGCAGAAGTGGACAACAGTTCTGAAGACGATCTCGCATTGGCTGTAGATGAGAAGGCACATCGTGGTGATGTGTGGTTTCTGGATACTGCAGCCTCATACCATATGTCTCCGAACATGGATTGCTTCACAACCTACGAGCAGATAGATGGTGGCAATGTGGTCATGGCTAATGGAGCTGTCTGCAAGGTTGTTGGAATCGGGTCCATAAAGGTTCGGACACATGATGGTTCGTTCTGTATCGTGAATGATGTCAGGCATGTTACACAAATGACAAAGAACCTGATCTCCTTGAGTTTACTCAACAGCAAGGGTGTCAGCTTCAAAGGAAAAGGTGGAGTCGTGTATGTCTGCAAA